ACAATTTGTGGTGCAAACACATCTAAGCAGCTTGCTGCAAATTTCATTTAGGCAAACTTTAAACTTGTATTCAAATATGCAAACAAAAGTAAAAAAAGCCATAGTGAATGCAGTTATGAAGTAACAATGTTAAAAACAGCTGAAATATTCATGCAGATTTAAGTGCTGTGATTATTAAGTCAAGAAACCAGATACATTTCTCTTGTACTACTGAGATCAAAACACATTTAACATAGAACTGAAAAGTATAACAACGTAATGCTTTAACTGACATCTGGTTGAGTCCCATTATTAACATACAGCTTGAGTTTTCAATGAATATTTCCTCCAAAAAAATTAAGCAAAAATAATCTGCAATAAGTGAAAAGGTGTTCAAACATCAAAAAATAGTAAAAGCAAGTTAGGAAAAGTAAAAAAAAAATCATATTGCTCTGAAGATAGACTCTTTAAAGTCCACACTGATCATGCCATTCAATGTATGGTAATTTTATCCCACTATCACAATAAATGTTTTACTCGTTTTGCTATCTATCTTAATGCTGTTATTTTGCCTAAAAGCAAAACCTGAGGGTTAGTTGGTCTAAATGGTGCTGTTGCTGCCTCCCATATACATGCTTGGTTTAATTTCAAATCTATGCACTATTCATGGTGATTCTGAAATGTCCATTAGAAATTCAGTAACTTATCACATATGCGTTATGCAGCCTGGTAGAACCCAAGCTTCCTCTCACCAGGTTTTTGATTTCTCAATTGCAAAATCATTTGAAATGTTAATATAAAATATAGGACATTCTTCTAAACCCATTCATGCTCTATCACCTCCCATCAAAAAATCCCAGGCATTGGGGAATACCTAATCACATAATGGGTCCATTTCCTGTTGGCAGGGATGACAGCTCATGAACCTAGCTCTGAGGTGGACAACTGCCCAGGCACAGAGTGGCACGCATTATTGCTCCCCCATTTCACCAATCTACAAATTTTACCCATCATGAATGGGCTAAATCTGCATTCTTAGTACTTTTATTTTCAAGACATTGCTATTATAGTACTTGCTTGTAGTACACAGCAAAACACCAGGCATTAAACATTCATCATCAAGGTCTTGATTTCCATTCTACTGATCTTTAGCATTTATTCCACTTTTCCTTACTGCTTTTACCACAAGTACTGAATGACATCAAAACGTGTAAACCTTTTGACAACCCCAAGCTGTATCCACTTAAACTCCACTTAAATAAGCATCATGAAATCCCAAAATCTTTGTCTATTGACACAATACCTGCAACTACACGGCTTTTCTCCATGACCTGACGCGCAAGGATTTGATTCAGTGCAAGGAGATGTTCTCGTTCCTTCTTCTCTGCTGCAATCTTGGCTTTGAAAGCTGAGGAGGAACTTGCCGCCGTTTCGCTCGCCTCACTTTTGACTTCTGGGTTGTCAGTGGCGGTGACAGTTGTTTGCGTTTCACTGAGCATCTTCCGGATCGATTCTGCTTTCTGCTCTCTTTGTGCACGCTCTTCTTCTGTTGGTTCTTTCTCATCATCCTTGAAAAGATCAGTACATAATTAGACTCATGTCAAAGAATATATGAATAAGACAAAAAAAAAAATTGAACAGTGACTACTTGATCACCTAAACAAAAACCATCGGGTCTCACCTCATCCGGCATATATCGCTCTGGAATGTATATCTTATCTGGAGCACCAAGTATGGAATCAATTGTTGTCTCATTAAATCGGAGATCTCTTGTGCTAAGTGTTGACTTAACAACATCAGGATGATTTCGTGGTCTTAAGGCCCTGACCATATCACAGTCATCACGTGATCTAGCACCCTGTTAAAAAGAAAAAGATCCACTGGTAAATTCCATGTTACTATATTTTTCTATACATCAATCTGGTAATGCAAGTGAAATAATCATTATTTATATTAAAAATGGACTGCTATTTTTGCAAAACACTTTCTAATTGCTTTTATTTTCTAAAGTTAACTTGGAAAATGCAAGTGAAATACATTCAGAATTTTACTGACTTAAGTTATAATTTTTTTTAAGTGGCATTCACAGTGATGAACCATACCTGTCCAAGATGGATAGAGTAGTGATGAAAATACTGCCTTATAATGCACAAAACAAAAACAAAGGTAAAATTAATGTGACAAATCTATTTCTGCTAATCAAAATGAAAACAACTAACAGAAAGTAACCTGCATTTCAAGCTAAAACATTTATTGTTCATGCATGTAACTGACAGGCAAACAACAGACCTTGCATTAATAGGAAAAATGTGCCATGTAAATGTCAAAATACAAGCCCTTCACAACTTAAAAAGAAAAAAAATACTTGTATGAGGACAAGCTTAGATTCTGCTCCATAATTGCAACTCTATCAAAACATCCACCTGATAATTTGACTGTAAATATCCCTTCACTACACACCATATCCACAGCATCTACTGGGTGTGTTTTTTTTCATCTTTGTAATATTAGTGATTTTTCAGATCAGAGTTGCAGTTAAATAATAACTTCCTTATATTGAAATGTTTAAAAGCAAATAGAGATTCCAGCAGATCTAGTGCAAGGCCTGTAGAGCTGATTTTGGATCCTAGTTCCTCATCACACTCTGGAATGCTAGCTATGGATCCACTACCCACATTTCACTATCAAATTCCTCTACAGACTCTGTAAGGCACACCTACTCTTCCTTTCTCATTCCCTCTGCACAGAAAGTATCAAGTCTGCTATAACTCCATAAAATATAAACTCCATACTATACCTCCTCAAGCCCTGTATCTCTCGCCTCCAGCATGAGGGGCCGACTACTAGAGATCGTGAAGTGCCTTCGCTTCTCTTTAGGAACGGACCGCCTGTGTTTCTCGGCCTCGGAGGCCATTTCCTTTATAATCTCCTGTGCAGCGGCACTTTTGAAAACAGGGGAGGGGGGATCCGACTTGGAGGGGGATGCTGGGGGGGTTTGCTCGGCTTCTCGAGAAAAGCCAAAAAGTTGCTCATGTGCGCTCAATGGGCGACCTTTGAGGTTCTCATTCTACAGGAGCCAAAGAAAAAAAAAAAGAAGCCATGCATTACCAGTTGCATTACAGGTACTGTACTGCACAACAGGAATAATCTCAACAGTGTCAAAACAAAACTATCTATCAAAGAAAAAGAAAATTCTCAAGGCCAATAATGATAATAATACATTAAGTAAAATAAATCTGAGATTTAAATAGCTGATATTCCAAACATTCAGTTTATTATATGATGAAGTAGACAAGTAACTGAAGAAAGCTGCATCAAGTATTCGAAAGAAAAAAAAAATTGCATGCCATATAGCAAGATGCAAAATGTATACTTTTGTAAAAGAGGTAAAGCAAATCATGCAAAAAAAAAAATCAATAGAAGATAAAAAGTTTCTTCTTTAAGACTGAAAAAGCACCCAATAATTTTCTGATGATTTCGTCTTTAGCATGTCATTTTTACACTTTTTATAGGATTAAATGACGAAGATCCTTGTTTCCTCCACTTTTATAAAAAACATGAAAAGAATATCCTCTCTGGCTGGCTAATATACAATATTACTATGCAGATGCTTGGAATATATAAAAGAATAAACTAATTACATTTCTCTTTATACTTCTTTAGCAGTTACTGAATGAGGATATGTTATGGTAAAAAAAAAAAAAAAAAAAAAAAAAATGGAGAAAAAAAAAATACATGAATACATAAACATGCCCACTGATTATGATTATCATAAAACAAAGAAACAAGACATCACTTCAAGAAAGCAGGAAAACTTTATCAATAGTAATATAATAAACTAAACAGAAAAGAATAAGATACTATCAACTCAACTTCTCATGAAGCAAAAAATAAACAAATGAAATAAGGTACTAATGACAATTTTAAAAAAAATAGCTAAATAAAGTCTACTACCTTCTATAGAAATATCATTATACTTATTAATAAGAAATTGGAAATCAAATGTCCTACAACTGACAGCATAAAATCTTAGCGTACCTTAGCCTTCCACTCGGCTGATTTCTTCAGAGCTAAATTATTGGGCCGCGTCATGGTGCCCGCATTTCCAACACTTGTCCTCATCATTGCTGCCATCATGCTGACGCGTTCTCCTGGCCCGTTTCGTCCATAGTTCCGAGGCAGTGAGGCTGACCTGATTATGGACATAAATGCGAGTGTAAACATTTAGTGCTAGGAGACAAAACGAGCAAATGAATCTTAAGTGGCTTTGTTATCTTTTGAAGGTTTGTAAGATAATTGAATATTTTTATATAAATTTCAGAAGGCATTCTGAATTCCTAGTATGCATCATATAGAGTATAATCTCTGGAACCAAATATAAATGAAAAGTTATAAACACAAAAACAAATATGATAAATTATATCCCCTGATAAATAGAAAAAAAAATATCAATAAAAAAATAAATAAATAAATAAAACGACCCAACAGAAACCTCACCTTGAAGCAAAGGAAGGAATGGGCGGCTCATTCTCAACGTCTGACAAACCGTCACTCTCGATGTCATCTTCCGTCACATAAGTCAGGTTGTTCTCTCCAATCGTTACCCGCTTTCCACCAACACTGCGGTCCTTCTTTCTCTCTGTTGACTCCCTCTTCACTATGCGCACAGTCTTTATTTCCAATGGTTTCTCTTTGGGGAGGATGCCTATAAGGAGAAAAAACAGAATACGGCTATTATAACTTTGTTACATCCTTCGCATTTACAAAAACAATCCTATATACCATAATAATAATATTAAAGACAATAATAATGACAAATACAACTAACAATAATGATCAGGTAACAAATGCACTGAATACCACAAATGCAAATCAAAAGACACAATTACCATAATATCTCTTCATTCTGTCATCGGCATCGTTTATGTCCAGATGGCTCCCAGACTGCTGCTGCTCTTCACCGTCTGGCTGATTATCTGCGGCATCACGGTCAAGCCCCAGCAAGGCACTTCCTCCAAGGTCCCCATTTAACAGAGGCTGCGGAGCAAAGCAAAGGGTTAAGTCTAGTCAGAAGAACAAGGTGCATCTCTCTTTTTTTTCTGGATGCACTATTTTTTAAATATATCATTTCAATTCAGTTAACAATAATCAAATAATCATTATCATTATTTTAGATTGTGCTTTTTTATATATTGCTATGTTCCATTCTTACCATATGATTATTGCCACTTTAGCACAATATAATGACAATATATTTCCTTATAGTCCATAAGTATAAAATTCAAACTGAGTAAAATGTCACCACCACATGCTAGTCTAAATTCCTAAAACCACATATGTACAAATAAAAGAAAATAATAACAGCAGCAGGACAACAAATAAATATCTGATGATATATATGTACCTTATTAGAAGTCACTTATTGGTCTCATGCTTTTGTAATTCTAGAAGGACCTCCTTACCACTTAACTATGCTACAGAATTAATTATAGGCCAACAGTAGCTAATTCTAACGGGGAGGAGATAAATGAGAGCAAAAATATAAAGCTAATATATATACTGCCAGGGGGAAGGGAAAAGAAAAATTCTTACAAAATTGAAAGCGTTCTCCGTTCTCTATATCATATGCAGGTCAGTTCTAAGGGGATATTTTCTCTTATTCCAAATGATAATGCTTAAGGGATGAACAAAGTACAGCAGAGTTGTATACAGGGAGGATTTACCATTTACACAGAAAATAATGGGGAATGAAGAAAAAAAACGAGGAAAGATAACCGAAATGTAGAGGCTTTGGGGGCGGCATCCACGCTCAACAGAAGTATGATCATTCACCTGTATTTGATCAGATTCTCCTAAAGCTGAATAATTATGAAGGTATAGATGTTCATTCAGGAAATGATCTGCCAATGACGTTTGGCTATCAAGGAGTTCGTTATATGACCGCATATGCTCAGGAGGAGGTGGAGGTGGTGGATAGTCTGTATCTATATAGTCCGGACTTTCAGGGTAATCACTGGGCCCAACCTATTGAAGAAATGTTTATCATTATGTCAACAGCCGGCTGATGCAGTCTTTAAGTGAGTAAGTAAGCTATCCACACTGTTCAACAATGCCATCTGAGCTGATAATGTGACGAGCTACACCTCTGCTTTGCCTTTTTCCACTGCCTTACCTTGTCTGGATATCCTGAAGCATTGACATACACAGGGTGACTGGGCATCCTCTCATCCTCAGGTGGGTCTAAGCCCCTATCCCTTGTTATCATGGCATCCAGGTCAGTCTCAAGCCAAGTGCTTCTTCTCTTCCTTGCAGGCACAGGGGCAGCACCCATTACCCCAGTAGGGGAGGGTCTCAGCTCGATGCCTGGGTTACTTGATGTTAATCTTTGGATCTGTTTGAATTGGTAGCGAGTGAAAAAAGAAATGAAAATGAGAATGATAAATAAATACCTTCCAAATGGTGCTTGTGATATCATCGTCACCATGGAGAATATGGAAATTAACAAATAAATATACATGAAAAATAAACACTCATCAAGTAGCCTATATGAAACACTATAACAGGCATACCTGGTGACTCAGTTCAATTCTCCGTCTCTGTAGATCTTCTAACAGTGTTTGCACACGAACCATTTCTGCTTCGATGTGGCGTGTTTCGGCACTGCTGCTTGACTCTCTCTGGCAGTTACGTGCCATGGTTACCTGAATCTTTTGGCGAAGCATCATCATCTCATGCTCTAGGCGGCTGTTCTCGGCAGCGGTCTCTTCTAATTTCTGTTTAAGATAAGGAATTTATAAACTACTGGAAACTACACATTAAAAGCTCAGCTTGATTATTGGTAAAAATAACCAAACTACAACGTAAAAGATGGGTTTTTCTCTTGATATATCTATTGAACTATGGAAGTGGTAACATAATAAGAGAGCAAACAATTCACTACAGTACTATATCCATTAAATCTCTTCCATAACCAATAATGCTTTTAGATACTAAAATTTTGAAATAACAATCCAGAAAATAAATCAAGACAGTTTTTCTACCTTCACTAATCATGCAAAATTTCACAGAATGGACTGTAACTTGCTATACGTATACTACTAGTTCCAAGGCAAAATATTAATGAAATATACTGTTCTTCTAAATCTACACACTACTAACCCTTTATGTTTTACCTAACTGGCATGATCCAGCATTCTTTCACAAATCCTAGAGAACATACAATCCAACAGCACATCAAACTTAATGGAATCTTTAAAGATAACTTGATATTAAAAGTGAAAAAGCACATTTATTAAAGAGGTGGATTCCCTGTAACCAATGCTCCCACCAAATGAAAGACTATACTTCATCTTTCCTCACACAACTCAGTAGGAAGTCTTACACAGCCAATATATGTATATATAAGCACATCTCTCAAACTCACCCTTGCAGACACGGCAAGGTGAGCACGGAGTTTGGATAGCTCGTGTTCCAAGTGCCGTCTCTGTTTCTTTCTCCGTTCAAGTTCTACTGGTCCCTCATTTGCTCCGTGAGACTTGGAATTCAGGTTTACTAGAGTGCGTTCCAGCATCTCCTAGGGTGGAGAGTCAGTTGGCTTAGACTAGCTCATGTATGAGTACAAAGGCCAAAAAGACATAACCCTTTAAAAAGGTCTGACCTGATTGATATTACTTACTTTTTGGATCTTGTAAAATAAACTTTTAAAAGCCTCATCAAGTCATAAATGTACTTTTGGAAATCTAATTTAGATGCTGTTACTAAGGGTTTCAATCTTTCCAGCCTTAGTTTGCTATTCAATATTCTAAGTTCATCACAATTCTGGGTACTGCCGTCTTTCAACACATAAGCAAATAATGATTATCTGTGATCTATTTAGGTTTAAAAAAGAAAAAAACAACAAATAAACCAAAATGTGAAAATAAAACAGAATATCAAGGCATGTCTACTTCTGAGGCAAGCTATATTTCTTGTATTAAGGTCTTTACTCTTGTTTTACAAGACTAAGTTTTTTTTGTGCATTAATTCTTAATAATTCCTTCTCAGCTTAGCGTAAATACTAGCACATTTAGGAGAGAAAAAAAAACAGCAAAATAAAGCATAATAAAGATAGAATCAGTTACAGGAAAAAAAAGAAAGGAAAAACAAAGACCAAAAAGAATTTTCAATTAATTACAAAGCTTAACCCTGAGACACGTACTTCCTATTGCATCTGTATTTATAAAGCAATAAAAAAAAAAATCCATTCCATAAGCCCAAAAGCAGAACCAAACCATGCCAAACTACAGATACATGCTCCAGAAAAGGAAGAAGAAGAAAAAAAAAGGGGGAACAGATTTCTCAAGTGTTTTTTAGTCACTCTCTCGTCAGTGGTTAGATTTTACCCCTGATGCAATATTAGTGTATGCACAGCGTTACCTCAAGAGAAAGAATTTTTATAGGAGGTGTGGAAGGAAACCATCCATCCATATCAATATTAAATGCAAATAGGAAATAATACTTACAAGAGGGAGAATTTACACAAAAAGAGAGAAAGGAATAGGTGCTTCAAACTTGGAAATTATAAATGGGAAGATACATCCCACGTGGAGAAAAACCAACAGAATGTACAAACAACTCAAGAAGTGCATTTTATAATTGGAATTTTTTAACTGCATGTCCATATTATTGGTCAAGATAATCTATGAAATGCATAAATCAATCCCCAAAAATAAAAAGACAGGAAAAATAACTCATGAATTCACTTACTAATGATTCAAACAGATTTTAAAAATACATGACAAAAATAAATTAAAGAAAAGATTTTAAATTTTTTTTTATATCCAACATTTCATATGAATATGTCAAACCTTTCAATTTCATATTCCTCCAAAATGCATAGTCAGATAAATAGATTACTGTTGAATATGTAATTTCAAATGCATGACTACTGATTCAGGAATAGTAACACCAATATCAAGTTTAATCATTGGGAATTAGAGATGAGAAACAGTAAGAATAAATTTCAATCTCCGAATCAAGGACATCAAAAAACTGCTTTTGCAGGGCTTGAACATTGGACTGCTACAAATGGTATCCTATTCCTGTATCATCAAAGGTTGCTATTAGTAAAATTGATTTAAATCTGTATTATAATGAGCCTTGCATGGCAACACGAAGGGTTTAATTTACCCATCCATAAGTTACGGGGATATGAAGCTTCACTCAAACAATACACAACTTTAAAATTGTTCAACGACAGTTAGGAAACACACTAAAGCCAAGGTGTTATTGAGTGATCATACACTGATACACTGCTAGCTGCTAGTAGCGTGATGAGTTCAGTGCTTCTGACAATACAACACTTCCAGGACTTTCCATCAAGGTCGCCATTTCAAAATCAAGGGAATCCGACCACCTCTTCCGAAAGTCCTCGAAATGTCTGCATTACCCAGTAACTTTTTTCATTAATAGACACAAAAGCACCAAAAGGACCCAGACTCTAACCAACGTAACCTTCTGATATACCCAAAAGAGTAGTAGTTAAAAGGTCCTGTAATCTAAAAAAAAATGGAGGATATACAGTGTTCGAACCTTCTCTCTCTGCAAGCTCTGAATGGTCAGTGACTCTTGCTGTAGGTTCTTGTCCAACTTATACAATTGCATCACTTTTCCCTGCAAGTTTAATGTTACTGTGTCATATCACTTTCCTTCAACATCACTTTTAGTTTGAGGAAAAAAAATATTCTTTTAACCATTTCTTTTTTAAGTAATAAGAACAAACTCCATGGAATGGTTCTTAACAATAATGTAGGTCTGCAAATGTAATTTAAAATCTATGAAAACTACAATGAATACAAAAAAAAAATAAAAATAAATAAAAATGAGAGCAAAATCTACTTCAGTAATAAGCAGGCCTGTAACAAGGAAAACTACACAAGAAGGGGATATAAATGGCATTAACCTTCCTACACTCAGTGAGAAATAGTCTCAACAAATACCTTTTCATTATGGAGGGTGTAAATTACAAAATATAGGTAATAAC